GGGCTGTGTATCACCAGCAAAGTCACGATACGATACGTATCACGGTACAGAGGCCACGATACGATACGTATCACGATACAGGACTGCACTGAATTTCACCTCAGCAGAATTTAGTAAAACAGCTGTTTATTAAACACTGCATACTATAGTGCCATTTCTAACTATTGGCAGAGCAGGCAGTTGACCTCTGCATTATGAAGGGCCTCCATAACTGTACCACAGTACAATATAGGTAATTGCATATGTTTCATGTTTACATTGTGCACTCCCCACCAGGTACAATATTCTGATTGTTTGCATCTTGTTTTTAAGCCCATAAACAATAATGTACTCATTCTAATAAATTTATATTGTAATGTACTCGTTCTAATATATAAAAAAAAATCACTTACATTGCTGGTAGGTTATCATTGCACAAATTAACACACTCTCTACCATTAAAAAAAAATTGAAGAGTTCTAAACTAACGCGCTGTCTTATCTAACGCACACAAGGTTTATTTACTCGATGCGTCCGCAAGTTCGCTTTTAGGTGCACGCGGCAGGACTTTCCGCGCAGCTCCGCTTCCGAAGATACACGAGTTCAAAGCGACTCTAGCCGAACATGCACATTTGTGCCAGCATTTGTGTGAAACAGAAGCAGTTTGATGTTAAGTGCAGTCACTCACACAGATCACGTTTGGCCGAACTCAGACATTCAGGAACAAACTTTTTAGTGCTGCCCCGCAGTTTTATCAACTAAATAGCTTAATCGCTCAAGAGCTACATTATCTTTCTCAACAAGGAGCTGGTAGCTTCATTGTTTCTAAAGGAATTAAAGCCACAGCTTTACTGTTAATAGAGAAACGCGGCAAAACGGTGGCAATTCATACATACACAGCCTCTCTCTCTCTCTCTGTGTGTCGTAAATGAACAGTTGATGAATCACACTTTTCTGAGAATAGAATATTGAAGTGGAGATCGCTAAACTGCAAGCTAACTGCTGTTTTCAGAAAGCAAGCGCGTTTATCCACAGTGGAGAGAGAGTGCGTGCACAGGGTTGCCAGGTTGACAAAGATAAGTAACATACTTAGCAGATATTTCCGTATTGCGCAAGTGTAAAGCTCTGTTTTGGGGATTACGTCTCTTTATATCAGGCAACCCAGTTGTGTTCCTCTGCGGCCAGAATAAAACTTGTTGTAGCCTATATATGCTCTATTCATTATTTTTTAGAAACCTCGCACTTTTCTACTCAATTTTAAATGTTGTAAAAATTTTAACAAATTAAGTGCGGTCCACTGCTGCACAGTACACGTGCCACAATATCGATACAGGGCCAGCTGTATCGATACTCGTATCGTCAAATCTCTGTGACGATACATCGTCGTATCGATATTTTGAACACAGCACTAATACACATAAGCCAATAATTATTTTAAAGTTATGGCAAATAAACAATAAATAATTGCATACTATTTTGTCTAAATAAAAAATAAAACGAGTCATACAATAAATTAATTTGAGCAACACATCATCATAAATATATAGCATTCAAAGTATTTTTTTTTAGGTTCTCTGAAGGTTACATTTAACAGTGTTACTCAAACATGTTTTGAAGGAGTGACTTTAACTGAATATTACGATGGCAAGAGTAATCTAAATATTAAAAACTGATATTTCCAATATCAACCAATATCAGTAAGCATTAAAAAAAAACATCTAATCTCAGCCAATAACCAATATGCTACCAATGCATCCCTAATACATAATTATGACGTACTGTATGTTGTCTTTATAACACGAAAGCAAAACAACATACGTCAGTCAGGCTTCTGAATTTTCCCAATTCTAAGAACCGGTTTAAGCAAGTAATGCTTCTGGATAATAATACTTCTGTGCTTTGACCAAAAAGAGGAAGTGAACAACACTTGACCTTCAGTAACTCTGTGTTGAGTTACAGTTACGAAAAATATTGTGTTATGCAGTGTTTGCAAGATTAAACCAGAAGCACTGGAGCTGGATGCTCAGCACACTCTGTTGCTAGGCCGCATAACAGGTGGCTGACACAGGAAACAAATCCAGACTAAACATGAAGCTGTGTTCTGCAAACATTGATGAATCAGACACACAAACACACAACAACCCAATCAGACTTTATCATTTTCAAGTAAGTCAGGGGTTTTACAGCATGACAGGTAGGGTTGGGTATCATTTGGGTTTTTTTCAATACCGGTGCCAAATCGATACTTTTAAAACTGTTCCGGTGCCTGAACCGATACTTATTATAAAAAATTAAAAAATAAAATAAAATAAAAATCCCCCAAAAAATGATAGATTGGCCATTAGAATAGAAATAGAATAGAGAGTGCAAATGTTACAGGGTCAAGTTTTTTAATTTAAAAAAAACAAGCAGATAAAATTAGAAGTAGCATTAGAATATAGAGTGCTAGAGTTAGAGGGTCAAATGAAGATGAAAGAGATGTGTTCTCCTCGGATGCTCTCATTTCCCAAGTTGTGCTTTTAAGTCGGAATGTGAAAACAACATGGACACTCGCGTTACTACAAAGATGTTGGATTTGTATTATTAGAGCTTTCCGACTTGAGTTCACATGCATTTTCTCAGTCGGGAAATTATTTTTCACGTACGGTGCCAGTGATGATGCTTCTTACATCCGTTTCGGAGAACCAGAGGACAAATATTTCAATCGATCGCTAAGTCCCGTTCACACTGCCAGCGACTTTTTCGCTGTATGTCACTAGACTCGGTGATGTGAAGACGCTTGTGGGCATTCCTACTGCTGTAGCTCTAATGTTATTGGTAGACTGCACGTCTGGACATATAAAATGCAATCACAAACTGTATATTGCCGGTAAAACTAAGATATCATTCTATTGTGACTAGGAATTAGACTTAAAATAAAGTATTCTGCTGTTGGAGAGTGTCGTTATATAAACCAGTGTTTCCCAACCTTTTTTTAGTCGCGGCACCCTTTGGAAATTTTAACAAACTTGTGGCACCCTACAAAATTAATTTTGTCACAATATTTGAATTTCTAACTTCGATATGATACTTTGAAAAGTGTAGATATTCGGTACAACAGGGAAGAACTGCAGAATATAATGTCATACAGATATTTTTTATATTATTAAAAAATTGTGTCTATCAAATGGTGGCAATCAGTAGGCTAATTTCTAATGAAGAGACCAATTTATTTCACAGATTTTAATGTAGGCTTTCGTCATTTTTTATATCCATGTATGTGGTTACAGTAAAATCATATAAAACAGTGAAATCGCTCAGGAAATCTGTCCTCTCTTGCCTGCACTCGAGACGGTGATGTGTAAGCGCCACTGACAGATTCTTCACTCCTATTGGTTGTCGCTCGCGAA